CACAGCAGATCACGCTTAATTTACCCCAAACAACTCGTGTTTGATTTTTTATTTATTTTGGCATTTAAACGCATAATACATGTAGCTACCTAAAGGAACAATATGTAGGATTTTTCGCCACCAGGGGTCACTAACCTCTTACAATAACAAAGGCGTATATTGATGACGAAAAGCATTAAACGGAATTATGGATCTTGTCGTCAAGCTGATGGATCTTTTATGGATGAGTGAATACATGTTTTTAACATGACTGTGGTATGAAGCCGGGCGCGATTGCTAATGAGAGATACCAGCACCACACGCAACGCGAGTCCCGCGGATATAAAGGAATAAGGACATTTCATTCTACCGAACTACACGCAACTGCTGTATTACTACTCGCACAGGTCAGTTTATTAGACGAATTAAACTTGAGGTAACGCAGCGCTGTTTCACTTGCTCTAACAGTTACACTATCACACTAAACGGCATTTGAGTGTGTTGAATGTTGTTAGTTAGGTTGTTTGTTGGCTGTATGAGACTAGCAGTAAGCTAGATCAACATTAGAACAACATTATTCTAACATTTCATCATGTTGAGTTATATAACATTGATTAGTTTTAGGTACATTTGCTCACCTGTCTAATAAAGTACATGCAACACTCGCGTCTCTGTCAAGTCGAAGTTAGTCGCGGACGTGGAGCTCTCGGCATCTCGAAAGATGTTGATCTTCGTTTTAGAACTCTTTTTGTCTCAAAGTCTGCTGCCATGGTCCATAATGTTTGAACAAAACAACAACAGCGTGAACGTCTGTTGTCCACGTCTGTCGCCATGATTACTATGGCAGTACGAGCGTAAAGTCTGTGCCGGAAACCGAGGGTAACGAGGATATGGCGCCATTGACTGGCGACTCCTCACCCCTGATCACACGCCCCGTTTTCTTGGTAAAAATTTTATCTCAATTTTCTCACGATTTACAAATAGTTGTAAACATTTGGGATATTGTAAGTAATCAACTAAACAAAACATATAACATTGGCCTAGTGTTTTTTTTGGATATTTTACTACAAAGATCCTACATATAGTACCTTTAAGCTGACTATAGAAGTAGTTGTATTGTTATTGTAGTATGTGTACATTTGTATATTTTCTCCAACAGCCCAAGCATATACAGGCCTATAGAATGGTGCATAAAACAAATTCATAAGGAAAACATTTAAATAATAAATCAGCTCCATTGCAGATTCCAAACGATCAAGGGCTTTTGGTGTTCCATTTAAACACACTGCAAGGGTTCTGCCAGTAGTGGGCACTCATGCACTGTAGGCAATGACGTACATTTGAGTGAACAAGATGGAGGGAAGTTAGCGAGGGAACGGCATAGAAAACTGGACTTAAACGCCACCCGAGTCCAAGGACATGAACAGCACTACAGTATTTACGACATGGCATAGCAAAATGTTTCCTTGTTATGTTATTTCAACTCGTGAGGCGATACAATATATGCAACTTAAAACAACTTTTACTAGGCTACTTGTATGACTCAAATATTCGTTCCTTGTAAGCATTATTTCAACATTTTCTATAGAACTCTATTGTGCACCTTCCAAGGTGGGTGTGTCACATTTCATTTATACACGGAAAAGCACATAGTTTCGTCTTTCGAGTAGACAGTATATTTTAAGATTTGCTGTATTAATAACATATGGGTACCTTTTTATATAAATATTATTAAAATAATAATTAAAAAAGTTATAACATACGGAAGCACTAGAATGATACGGAGGGTTTCGAAATTACCTCATGCTTAAAGACTAGTGTGACTGCTGCATAACCTTCAAAAACGTATTAAAATAACTAAATTTATGTCCACAACGACGCAATTAAGACACCAAAAACGTTTTATTTATAATTTAGTTTATGCGACGTAACAAACTTATTGTTATGCATAAAATCAAATATAATAAAAAATATGCATGTCAACGCCATGACATCACTTTAGCCACATGCTTTTGAAAAAAACATGTCCCATTTTTAATACAATTCTATAATAATAATAAAAACTTGAAGAATAGCGTCAAACGCATTTGTAACGCAATGTGCTCATGATTACCGAAAAGGCGCACGTTACTATAACAACATTACTAGACTGCTTATTTTACCTAATTCACAGGTGAGCAAACGTGGCAACCACCGGCGTGCATAAATGTTATTTGTCCATTCAAAGTCAAGAAATTGAGTTTCAGTCACCTTTTGTGAAACAGGCGTCGAGATATATTCGTCGATGGCGCATGTCTCTAATAGGCCCGAGATCTAAAAGTTGGCGCGGATAGCGCGTGCACGTCGAAACATCTCGAATGGCGGGCGAAGCGCGCTGAGAGATGGTCTGCTCTGGCCACGAAGTAACAACGAAAAACACCCCTGTGCAGCGAACTTTTTCAATTACTTTAACAGACACAGCTATATCCGGATTAGACTGTTACCTTTTGTCAATATGTAATGCATATTGTGCATACTCTCTCTCCTGTCTTCGTTAATGTTGTTTTTTTTCCTCTCTCCCTTCTCACATTATTACACCGTGCGTCTCACCCTCCGAGGTTTACGTGCGTGCGGTGACGTCATCACGTCGCCGTTCAAAACATTGCACGCGCCCGTTTGACTACCGTGCGCAGGCGCTGCTCTGACTGATGAGAATCGTTGGTTGTATCGCGCATGCGTTTACTTAACGCCTTTGTTTACGTCATGGCTGCCTCGACTCGCACTGCGTCGGTTTTTATTCGAATGACGAAAATCGTAGATAAAAAAAGAGTCGTTGCGTAAAATGTTTTATTTTACGTCTGATTTGGAACAGCGCGGCACAGAGCCAAAGATGCATCATATATTCATCCTAAGAAACATACACGCGGATTTTGAGACAAAGGGAGTTTTGTTCATGGTGATGCCAAACCCTTTCTTTCAGTGCTCTGCCGTCAAAAGCTTTATTTATTACAATGCTCCATTGAACATGCTCTCCACTCGTTGGTCTGACGTTACTTGTTTTCGTTCTCAGAGGACAGGCAATTGTATAATGGTTGAAGGGGTTTAACAAAGCCCAACAACGAGGCATGTGTTACATGTCCTGTCTATTTCCTTTTTGTCTCTGTCTTTTGCTGACCTGAAGAGAACACTTGTATTTGGTGCATTGCAGAAGGAAAAGGTGACAGCAGCACAGACCATCTAAAAAAAAAACATTCATTGCAAATGAAATTTCACTATTACTAATATGAAAAGTAAGTGTCTAATTACTGGATAAACTGACATTTGATTCAGTTGGCTCTTAGCTGATTAAGAGAGTTTTCAGTAGTTCTCATTAGAGGCGTTTTCAAATTATGATTTAATTATCAATCATGTACACATGCCAAGGATATAAGGATTTGATTCAAAGAGCATTTTCAAAAATATGTAATATTATTGTATTGTTAAATATTTTATATTTTTGTGATTACATGCTATATTGATTTCACTTTGTCCTTTAAAGCCACATCCCCAATAAACTTCAACTCTGATGATTTTTAGGTCTAGAGTAGATGTTTTATTTACAGTTTCTGAAATAAAATGGAAAACAACAGTTGTAAGCACCACCCAAATGATCAACACATAGAGCTCAGACATTGCTATTTCTGAGCAAAATTCTTCCTATTTATACTCATTTTGCTTACTCTGTTGAACTCTGTATAGCTCTAACCATAATAAAACCATTTTGGCCTGTCACGGCTTCTGTTGTAATTCCCTGGAATAAAGTTTTATCTTCATGGTAGGTATTTCACATGCAAACATCATCATCTTTGCCCATTTCATTGATTTGAGATAAGCAGACAGCCCTTTACAAGAGTTAATAACACTGAATGATGTGTCAGATTTATCCACAATACATATGACAATGTTTGTTACATGATCTAACACTCCAAAACTGAGTGTCAGCCATACACTGATGAAGTGAAATACAAAGGCTTCTGATTTTAAAAACAAACACTGAAGATATTTTTCACACAACAGGTTCAAAAACACAATTAGCAAAAACAGGCTCAATCTGTGCTGCATAATAAAAGGAAAATGAAACTTGCACTTAATAAAACCAAAAGTCCCTTGATATCCCACCTTCAAAATGCTCTAATGAGGGTTTGCTGTACAGGTAAAGCGTAATATTCCGGTTTAAATGAAACAACCACAGAAAATACTGTAATCCCGCAAAAAAAACGTGTTGACAGTAACTTGTGTAAAATGGAGGTCTATAGTACAATTGTTCTATGTAAATTGATGCTAATCATCTATGATGATTATGTCAAAATGATTATCTATGGCAATGTTTTCTGCATAATTATTCAGCAGTGACACAGATGATAAATCTTTCAGGGATTCCCTGCTGCAAAAACACTGTTTCATAGAAATAATTTAGCAATCATACAGCGTGCAGTTTAATCAGTAGGCTATTTAACCCGGAACATTCATTTAAGTACAAGTATAAAAACCGACAGTCTGAGCTTATGTCATAGCATGCATTTTAAATCCAAAGGAATTTCTTCATGCAATGTAACAAATGTGCAGGAACTGTTATAAAACAAAAGGCACCACATATGTGAGTCCCAGGACGTGATTGACACTTCACATGTACAAAACGCACAAATAATGCCGGAAATATACCAGCAAAGACACATATATTCACAAGGATTAACAATAACATTTTACACTTCATAAATCACAGATATGACTCTAAAAATTGCATTTGTTGAAACACTCATAATTAATAATTACCATTGAAATAAACATGTCAAATCATGTTTCTAAAAGTATTAGCAGCTGATTGTATGTCCACGTCACGCCTCAAGAGTTAGCATAGATAACATTTCTTCATGTTAAGTATTATTCCTGGAATTTCACCAGTAAAACAACTCAGGAATGGCTTTTCACTGTTCTTTTACAAAAGTCTTTACAACTTGTGCAATCATTACCTACGGGATTATGTAAGCATGGGGGGGGGGGGGGGGGGGGCAACACAAATCACACGTTAATGATGATGTCCTCTTCCTCGTCCCTGATATCCTCCGACAGGCCATCATCAGAGCGCCTGCTCTCTTCATCAATGCCGCCGCCGCGTGGGCCGATGATGTATCTGTAGTCTCCACCAATAGCAAAAGCAGCTCCCGATGACACCATTAGCCAGTCCTTTTCGTCTTCCTCTATTCCTGCACACTGCCACGGAACTCCCCAAGAGGGATCCTCACTACTACGGGTCCCGACATCTGCGCCCGGGCCAGAGGCCTGTTCTCCATCCTCTTCCTCCAGGTTCACATACAGCAACGGCTCTTTTACAGGAGCTGGATTCAGCTTCGCCCACAAGAGCTCCAACTGGTCAATGAGGTGTTGGAAACTAGGACGGCACTTTGGGACAGGAGACCAACAGCTGTGCATGATTTCATAACTGGAAGTGAGAAAATACGGACAATAGCAGAATGAATCTCTAAAACTGCTGCAATCAAATGAGAGTTGTGCAACTTTAGTATTAAATGCTCAATGTTCAAACTTTTGTGGTCAGTAAGATTTATTTTAAAAAAATATATATATATTTTTTTTACACTGTATATATATATATATAATATAATTTATTCAGCAAGGATGCATTAAATTGATAAAAACTGACAGTAAAGACATTACAAAAGATTTTTATTTCAAATAAATGCGTTTCTTTTGAACTTTCTATTATTATCATCATCAAAGAATCTTGAATCTTGATTTTCGTTTTCAACATTGATAGTAATAAGAAATGTTTTTACACACCAAGTTAGGCGCATATTAGAATGATTTCTGAAGGATCATGTGACACTGAAGACTGGAGTAATGATGCTGAAAATTCAGCTTTACAGTAGCTGCAAATTAGTTTTTCTATTTTAATATATTTAAAAATGTAATTTATTCCTGTGATGTCAAAGCTGAATTTTCAGCATCATTACTCCAGTCTTCAGTGTCACATGATCCTTCAGAAATCATTCTAATATGCTGATTTGCTGCTCAAGAAACACTATTATTTTTATTAATGTTAAAATCAGTTTTACTGCTTAACATTTTTGTGGAAACAATGATACCCCTCAGACATTAGTGGTAAGATAAAAAAATCAAGCATTTAATCAAGGATGCGTTATATTGATGACAATTGACAGTGAAGACATTTATAATGCTATAAAGGATTTCTATTTAATAAATGCATATACCGGTAGTAGTATTTCATAATATTACCGTCTTTTCTATATTTACTGTATCAAATAAATGCAGACTTTGATCAAATAGATGCCTTTTTTACAAATGAATGTAGTTAAGAAATTGTATATTATATATTATAAAATCAATACAACAATTAAAACTTACATGTCACCAGGGCAATCTGGAGGCTGCTTGAGTCTTTCTCCTTTGATAAGATACTCGTAGATTTCTGAGTTCTCCACCCCTGGGTAAGGCGTTTGACCTCTAGTCATGATCTCCCACATCGTCACACCAAATGCCCACTAAAAAAAACAGCCCATCAGTACCAGGAACAGTAACAGTGAAGGGCTATGTTTTAAACCCAGTAAAAAAAAAAAAAAAAATTATAAGCATTTCTGTTTTCAGAAATTGTGTGATTTTAATGTACATATTACATGACTCTCTGGGTTACTAGATTCTGTTTGAGCCCTTTGTGGTCAAATATTTTTATATAATGACCACTAAACTGTATAACTGACTGTCCCGATTCCAAGAAACTGGTTGTTTCTACATATCTGTGCTAGATATGTCTCATTTAACAATGTGGTCTTGTCAGTCTCTCATAATACAATTATTTCAATTTAAATCAATATGTCATGTTCATTTATTTATGAAGTAAATAACCATGTTGCTTCCCATTGGGGTCTGGCTCACCCTATCAGGGTTTATTCTGCAGTAATGATAAGATAACTGTACAACCCGAATTCCGGAAAAGTTGGGACGTTTTTTTAAATTTGAATAAAATGAAAATTATACGACTTTCAAATCACATGAGCCAATATTTTATTCACAATAGAACATAGATTACATAAATGTTTAAACTGAGAAAATTTATACTTTTATCCAATAAATGACCCCATTTCAAATTTGATGCCTGCTACAGGTCTCAAAATAGTTGGGACGGGGGCACGTTTACCATGGGGTAACATCTCCTCTTCTTTTCAAAACAGTTTGAAGACGTCTGGGCATCGAGTTTATGAGTGTCTGGAGTTTTGGTGTTGGAATTTGGTCCCATTCTTGCCTTATATAGGTTTCCAGCTGCTGAAGTGTTCGTGGTCGTCTTTGACGCATTTTTCGTTTAATGATGCGCCAAATGTTCTCTATAGGTGAAAGATCTGGACTGCAGGCAGGCCAATTCAACACCCGGACTCTTCTACAATGTAGCCATGCAGTTGTAATAGCTGCAGTATGTGGTTTTGCATTGTCCTGCTGAAATACACAAGGCCTTCCCTGAAATAGACGTCGTCTGGAGGGGAGCATATGTTGCTCTATAACCTTTATATAGCTTTCAGCTTTCATAGTGCCTTCCAAAACATGCAAGCTGCCCATACCGTATGCACTTATGCACCCCCATACCATCAGAGATGCTGGCTTTTGAACTGAACAATGAAAACACGATGGAAGGTCTCCCTCTTCTTTTGCCCGGAGGACACGGCGTCCGTGATTTCCAACAAGAATGTCAAATTTGAACTCGTCGGACCATAGAATACTTTTCCACTTTGAAATAGTCCATTTTAAATGAGCCTTGGCCCACAGGACACGACGGCGCTTCTGGACCATGTTCACATATGGCTTCCTTTTTGCATGATAGAGCTTTAGTTGGCATCTGCAGATGGCACGGCGGATTGTGTTTACCGACAGTGGTTTCTGGAAGTATTCCTGGGCCCATTTAATAATGTCATTCACACAATCATGCCGATGAGTTATGCAGTGTCGTCTGAGGGCCCGAAGACCACGGGCATCCAATAAAGGTCTTCGGCCTTGTCCCTTACGCACAGAGATTTCTCCAGTTTCTCTGAATCTTTTGATGATGTTGTGCACCGTAGATGATGAGATTTGCAAAGCCTTTGCAATTTGACGTTGAGGAACATTGTTTTTAAAGTGTTCCACAATCTTTTTACGCACTCTTTCACAGACTGGAGAGCCTCTGCCCATCTTTACTTCTGAGAGACTCTACCTCTCTAAGACATCCCTTTTATAGCTAATCATGTTACAGACCTGATATAAATGAACTTAATTAGTTGCTAGATGTTCTCCCACCTGAATCCTTTCAAATTTTTTTGCTTTTTCAACCATTTGTTGCCCCCGTCCCAACTATTTTGAGACCTGTAGCAGGCATCAAATTTGAAATGAGCTCATTTAGTGGATAAAAGTGTAAAATTTCTGTTTAAACATTTGTTATGTTATCTATGTTCTATTGTGAATAAAATATTGGCTCATGTGATTTGAAAGTCTTATAGTTTTCATTTTATTCAAATTTAAAAAACATCCCAACTTTTCCGGAATTCGGGTTGTACATTATACATTACTTACAGTACAATACATCATCTCACCTAGTAATATTAAAGAAATCATGTATGAGATAAAACAGTATTTATTACCACATCACTCTGTGTTGTGTAGACATTGTCTGCCAGGCTTTCCAAAGCGATCCACTTCACAGGCAACTTAGAGACAGACCCTTGTCTATAGTAGTCGCCGCTGTAGATTTTCTTTGAGAGACCAAAATCTGCTACACACACGCTCATATTTTCATTCAACCTAAAATTGAAGATTCATTTGAGGGAAACATAAAAGGTTACTCATCATTTGGATAGTTTACATGCCCATTCAATATGATCAGTAAATCATGTTCCTTTTACATAGAGCTGACTTAAGACAAACTCACATGCAGTTACGAGCAGCCAAATCCCGATGGATGATGTTTTTGTTGCTCAGATACTCCATCCCTCGAGCAATATCCAGCATGAACTGGATAAGAATCTGCTGAGAGAGGGTCTACAAAAAAACAAGAGACATCAACAAACATTTACATGGAGGAATGGACCAAATAAATCTGATGTACAGTTGCTGCGTGTGTGTGCGAGGAAGTGACAGGAAGAACGTACAAACGGTTCATCTCCGAGACGTGACATGAGAAGAAATGTGTGGAGATCTCCATGTTTCATAAAGGGCAGGATCACCATAGGAACAGGTAACCGCTGCTGGGCTCTCCTGTGCAAACTCACACCTGTGGGAGCGAATTCACAACCATGTTGAAGTAACATCTTCAAATGAGTCCTGCTTGATAATATCCACGTCGAAATGGAAAGGACCTCCATTGACTTCACTTCACTGATTAGGCTTGATGTGAATTTATCCCATATCCCTTACAAAAATTAACCATGGTTTTATTGTGAAAAAAGTCTAGTAACCATTGTATAACCACAGTTTTACTACAAATTCCATGGTTAAACTATGGTTAGTGTAGCAAAACCATGGTTAATTTGTGGTTACCATGGTTTAACTATAGTAACCATGTTTTTTTGGTTTTATTTGTATTTTCATAAGGGATGTTAAAGCAAATAGATTCTGAGCCAAAGCCTAGCAAGGAAAATGTGTCCACTAACCAACAAGCGGAATGACATTGGGATGATGGAAGTCTTTCATATAGGCAGCCTCTTTCAGACATTGCTCAATGTCACTGGATGAGTTAATGTCAGCTGTAAGAGCACAGAGAGAGAAGCATGAATGCACAGAAACAATGACAACACCAATACCATGGTCCACAGGCATCCAACTGTTTATTGAACTAATCATTTTAGATGTACACTTACTTTTTAGGACTTTCACCGCAACCTTCTGCCCAGAGTTATTCTCCGATTTGAGAAAAGCTTCTCTCACAGAGCCAAACTCACCTAGAAAACAATATTATTATTTTGACAGCAATGAACATAGTTTTTAAAGGTAAAAACTGTGATCCCTGTATACTGTGTTAGTATAATCAATTTTAAAGTCCCCCTGTGGTAAAAATCAAGTTATTAAGGTTGTTCATAAGTCTATTTGGTGTCTTTAATATGCTTTAAGAAAAACCATGTGCAAATTCATGTGTCAACACCATTACTGAGTATTTTCTCCTTAAAACTGCAGAACCAAAGACAGTCTCAAAAACACGGTTTGAAATCACTGATGTTTCTGACGTCACAAACTACCTTGTAACCAATCACGTCAACGTGTGATCGTCAATGAGTGGATCACTGAGCTGGTGTGAGTGAGTGGAGGCGGGGCTAATTTGAAAATTCATAGAACCACATATACTAAATGAGGCAAGGATGTAGAGTTACACTCAAGCTATTTTAAGGCACGAAGACATTTTTTTCAAGGAAAAAAAACATTTAAATATGTCATTTTGGTGATCAAAGATGAGTTTTAAGGGATAAAATAATTGAATACAGGGGGACTTTAAGAATTTTATTCTTCTGAGATGCAGAAAAGTATCATAAAGGACTGTGAGGTTTAAGACAGCATATATTCTTTCAATCATTTAGATCACTGGTACACAAAGTAGATCACTTTAGGTCTCGTCCCAACAAAAAGAGACTAAAATGAGCATCTGGGTCATAATGTACCTTTTCCAAGCATTCGTCCCAGAGTTAAGAGCCTTTCAGAGATGAGAACATCCTGTAACTTGGCCTTCAAATCACTGTTGATTCCTAGACTGTCCACTAGAGGGATACAGAGTCAATATTCATAATATCCTGTAAAACAAGTACTGTAGGATGTCAATGATGGTGCAGTCATGCGTGTACTTACATGTGGTTTCGGGGAGCTCAGGGAACTGCCTGTTGAAGGACCTGGCAGCTGTAAAGGAAACCGGAACTTCTGTTCCTGGAGCTGCGAATGCAGACCTGAAAACAAACCAAAATGTGACAAAATGACCCATATTTCACTGTTTTAAAAGACATTTTGGAAATTCATCTAAACCCAAACTGCCCAACAAAAGCAAAACACACAAACTACTTCATGAATGGAACTGAAAAAATGGACCAAGTTCCTGGACTACAAACTGTATGTCCAGTCTTCATTGATTTTGAGCATAGTTGATCCAAACTCGACTGTGAAAGGACAGATCACAGTCTAAGAGACCAGATTTCAGTCCTAGCTCAGACAAAATGTGTGGTTTGGGCAGCAAATAGGGTGTAATAATGTAAAAACATAAGTAAACACATACCCAAACTGGGTCTCTTTGCCTCTGTTGCGTACCAGTACAATCAACAGGAGTCCCACCATGGTGGCCACAAGAAGGCCGAAAAGAAGCCCTACCCATATGTGGCCCCTCTGGGTCTGAGCCTGCGTGGCTGAAAGGACACAACGAGAGTGTTAATCACCACTTCTGCTCAAAAGTGCCTGACGCTACGCCATTCCTGCATAATGAGCAGCGAATGAACACACACAGGCTATTAGAGCGCTGCATTATGAGAAAATGCTGTCACAAAAAAAGCTGCAGTGACTGCAGAAATCCTGATTTCAAAGAGGCAGGAGGTGGACACCAATGAGAGTGAACAAACCTGACACGGGCATCACAAGAACAGGCTGACTCCATGGGCCACATCCTGCGTTTGTGCACGCAGCAACCTGGAAGGTGGCGTTAAAGAATCGCCCAGCACCCGAGAGACGGGCAATGTTGTCCTTAAACAGTAAGGGATCCTATAGAGACAGAAATCATAAATTATATGCATTAAGGCTCAGACATTTATGCTTCAAAAAGTTGATTAAGAGATCGGAAAACTATTCCATATGAATTGAGTGGTTTAGTCCACATTTTCTGAAGAGACACGGTTGTGTTTTGTTTAGTTAGATTAGTTTTATGACATCTTTTTGAAACGTCAAAGTGTCAGTTGCATAGCTGTCAATGGAGGTACAGTAATCGATCAGATTTTATTAAAAATATATTAATTTGTGTTCCAAAGATGAGTGAAATTCTTAAAGGGATAGTTCACTTTGAAATTAATTTTTAGTATGTTTTAGCTTACCTCAAGGGCATCCAAGATGTAGGTGTCTTTGTTTCCGCAGTAGTTTCAATTTTGATATTTTTAGGTCAAACCGTTCTTGTCTGTCAGTCATATAATGCAGGTCTATGGTCACCACCTCAAAGAGCATGCAGAGAGAAGTCCAAATTAAACATGATTTAATGACTCGTAAATGTAAGTACACATTGATGGCCTAAGACACGAAACGAGCGGTTTGTGTGAGAAAACGAACAGTATTTATATCGTTTTTACCTCTTGTAAACACAGCCACGTCCAAGTGATCTGAGGGCACGGGCGCTTCGGTCTTTTCCGCCAAGCGCCGGAAGTGATCTCTCGCGCGTGTACGTCACTCATTGTTTACACAGAACAGAGATTGTAGGTAAGACGGCTAATTAAAATGGTACTAATTTGCGCTTATCCGGGATGTTTAAACCGTCGTAAAAGAAAACAATTAAAAAATAATAATAATAAAACAATTGTATGAGTGACGTTTAATTTTTCTGACGTATGAGTGACGCGCTTGCCGGAAAAGACAGAAGCGTCGTGTCTTAGGCCATCAATGTGTACTTACATTTACGAGTCATTAAATCATGTTTAATTTGGACTTCTCTGTGCATGCTCTTTGAGGTGGTGACCATAGACCTGCATTATATGACTGACAGACAAGAACGGTTTGACCTAAAAATATCAAAATTGAAACTACTGCGGAAACAAAGACACCTACATCTTGGATGCCCTTGAGGTAAGCTAAAACATACCAAAAATTAATTTCAAAGTGAACTATCCCTTTAAGGGTCTGGAACAACACAAGGGTGAGTTTTTTTTTGGGTGAACTATCCCTTTAAGGGTGGTTAGTGTAGCTCTCTTTACTCTTATCAGTAACAGGAAAAAGATTAATAATTATTTACATGATCAAGCATATTTCAAGTAAAGTCGCATTTATTTAGATAGTTCTTTATACAATACAGATAATTTCGAAGCAGTAAACTTTCCAATAAACTGGAACAGTTAAGGCCAGTTCACACTAAAGACAATAACTGTAACGATAACTAAAGTTTTAATAATCATTCTAATTCTATATGAATAGTCGAGACTCCACCACAACTGTAATGATAACGACACAGGAGAAGGATTAAAAAAAAAAAATTGACAGCCAATCAGAATCCATCCTGCTTTAAAAAGCTGGGTATTTCAAGTGGCAGACGACATAACTGCAGCATGTGCTTACAATAAACTGAACATTATTGTTCTTGGTGTGAAATGTTCCAAAATTCATCAGTCTGGAAACAACTTAATTTTCAGTTGTAAAGCACCTCTACAGAAGACAATAATGTCATTATCCAGCTCAATACAGACTCAGTGTTGAATCAGTTCAGGTCAATAACAGTGTCAGTGTTGCGAAATTTCCACTGTAAGTGTGTCTTCCTTTATAATGATGTACCTGATTCTCTCCTCCCTGGTTCCACTGCACTTTATATGCCAGTAACCTTCCACAAAGCTCCTCCTGTTCCAGTGCCGCCCAGGACAGAGTGAGCTGCTGCTCGCTGAGTTCAAAGGTAAAGTTCTTTGGAGCTGCTGATGGTGCTGTGTATGAAAGATATGAAAACAGTAAAAAAGGGAGCAATAATTGCCAGTGTACAGACAAAAGTACGTGTCAAGCGCCTCTGCACGACAATAAATGATGTCACAGCCAGGCCCAGATGGAATTTGTTCACATTTTTTCCTAATGATTTAGAGGAGAAAAAACCTCTGGAATCTGTGGAATGGATTTTAAGAGGGGAGGAGTATAATACACTCTTATTTATAGTGGATAAAAATGAAAAATAAAAAAAGCGCAAGTAAACCAAATCCATTTCAAATAGTTCCAATGACTGCTTTGGCCAGTAGGTGGCAGAATATTGGACTCTGTATGTGGCAGCAGTGCATTGATATGGATTGGGGACACGCACAATGGCGCATTGTACCACTCAGCCTGGAATCTACTGGACTGCAGCCAGTGCTACCAGTTTACAAACATACAAACAGGGACAACTTCAGAAACCCCTTCTGCTCCTCAAACCCATCCATCAGCTCCTCCCCTTCCAAACCCCCTTGCCCTAGGCATCTGGCCAGAACCCGCTCTCTGGGCTGTTTGTTTACTTCCAACCCACCAAAACTTTGGTTAGAACGGCAAACGGTTTTATTTTTAAAACGTATTTTAAAAACGTTAGTCGCTCATGACTGTCCTTCACAGAACTTTGAACTAGCACAGTTTGGAATTAAATGTCATCTTTAATTAGCCTTCCTTGATCCAAACCAAGTCATTTAGTGATGTATGTTGTAGAGAACAAGCTTCTTTTGAGATGGATCTGGATTCTACAAAAGCTCCTTCCTTCCTTCCTCTCTTTGTTTGTACCTCAACACTCTTCATACAGACAGATAGTATGGGATGACCATATCAAATTCCACATGAAAAAAGTAAAAAAATAAATAAAATAAAAAGTGGTAACACTTTATTCCGATAGTCCACTTTAGTCATTCTACTACCTATTAGTAAATTCAATTACATGTGAACTAGCAGTCATTGATTAGAGTATTAGTAGACTGTCTGCTTAATATCTGCTAACACTTTATTTTGATCCTCCCCAACAGACATTCGACTGACTATAATGAACTTCGCAAGTACATTTCAACTTATTCTACTAACCTGAACCCTAAGCTAACAGTCTACTAATAGTAGAGCATGGAACTAGCTATGCCAAGGTCATGGGTTCGATTCCTAGGGAATGCAAGAGCTGATCAAATGTTTACTTTAAATACAATGTAAGCTGCTTTGGATAAAAGTGTCTGGCCAAAATGCATGAATGCAAATGCCTGTAATTTCATCAACAGCAATGAAGTTCAAGCTAAAAAGCCATTTATGTTAATTTGACTAATAGAATGAAACCACATGCATACATAGCATCATTACCTTATCTAAAGTTTCACATACCTGCCTCTGGAGTGTGAAAGTCCACCCAGGGAGAGAAGGGGGAAGAGCCCACCTCATTATCACACCGGATTCTCACACTGTAATTTGAGTAACTGTGGAGCTCCCCAAACACATGCTGGAAGGGAGGAACCACAACATCCAGATCAGGAAGTTTCACCTTCTTTCCAGATCCCTTTGACACCTAGAAATGGATTACAGGCAGATATTCATTTTTGTTTAAGTTTACAGATTTGAATCCTGAGAATTTAGATAGAAACTACATTTGCTAACTCTTTTTTAAAGAGATTTCTAAAATTGTTTACATGCAAAATATCTTCTCAAGAGAGCAGCGTGACTTGCTCTTCTGGCCGGTTGCATAAACTGCCTAGACTAGTCTTAAAAGTTAGTCATATAATTATTTTTTTCAAGACTGGTGCTAACTTTTTAAAGTCAGTTACATAAAAAAGGTAGATCGGTCTAATTTGAATCAGAAAAGTAAGACTGATTACCTCTTTCTAGTTGTTCTAGACTAATTTCTAGTTAATCAAATTAGTTCTTAAGACACAGTCTTAACATAGTGGCTAAGTTTATGCAACTGGCCCAGATGTAGTGAGGGTCTGGTTAAAAGTAGACCATACGACCTGTGAGCAACGTAAAACATTTTTTCCTGTTCCTAACATCTGCCATGTGTTACACAGGAAGAGAAAAGTCATACGGGTTTGGAATGACAAGAGGGTAAATCAATTATTTTCATTTCGGGGTGAACTATTCCTTTAACAACCAAGCACTAAGACTGTACGGCCATAGGAAGAACACGAGGAAATGAACAGAAAAAGGAATGCAATAATGTCAAATACTATGTAGTAGCATACCTGTATAGTGCAGGTGGAAAGCTGTGAGTGCCCTGTGAAACCTGGACTCCATGTTACGGTTATATTAAGATCAGACACATGATGTACCTTGACATCCCGGGGGGAATCAGGACGGACTGCACATAACAATCACATTTAAAGAAACACATTATAACAACAACATAAATTTATCTTTCTACAAGCCTTTTGTGGTTGTATTTGTATGGATGCCTGTTTATGATGGATTACTGTCAAAACCAAAAACCAACAACTATTTTTTAATTTTGAATGCAATTATGCCGAACTACAGCAATAAAGGTTGTGTGAGTGGGAAGTAAAAAACACTGGTATGTCTCACCTTTAATGTACACTGTGCCCGTGCGTGACACGGAGATGCCTCGAGCGTTCTTGGCCTCACAGTAAAACTTTATACTGTCATTCACACCTGGTTGAGCAAATAAAAAACATATCGCTGTAGTCAGTGCTTCACCTGAAAATAAGTTTGCAAAAATGCATATTAAATGGGAGAAATATCATGAAGCATGTCAAGAACATTTCACCTTACAATCTAAAGGGGAAAAAAGGGAGTAAATATTTGCATTAAAACAAATAACATCGTTTTTATGACTATTAAAATAAATATAGTTTAAAATACTAATATATTATATTTTATATATTTTAAATATACAAAATATGATTATGTATATTGTGTATATATATATATATATTAATATTAGTACATACATACAGTTAATCTTATATTTCATACAGTTGATTGGTGACGTACATTAAGCAGGGCAAAAACTCACTGTGTAATGTGTGTATAGCCTATAGAATCAATCTGGTGAATCTATCGTCAATAAATGAATCAATCGTGAGCAAATCAATCGGGTGAACCAATGATTCAATGTCCCATTCATAAAAAGAGCCATTTACTTAATTCCTGAAGAATCAACCATTTGAATGAATCGAATGAATGACTGACTCAATTACTTATACACATTTAGACATTTACTGCCATGTACTGGCAGTTTTAGATATTTTTTAGAGTATAATTTCATTTAAAAAAAAAAATCATATTTCCATATAAATAAAAAAATCCATTAAAATATAGTTCACCCAAAAATGTATATATAAATATATATATTTATTATTTCATATATTTATGAAATGTTCAAAGTAAATTGCAAAAAAAAAAAGTGAATCAGAAAGATTTTTTTTATAAATCAAAGAGAATAGACAAAAAACATCCTCATGTCTCATCTCGCCTCATGAACAAGGACATGACAGCTGTCACATTGTTTTATATAATGACAGAGCAGAAAAACAGTTTTCAACTCTGAGTGAGTCACAAACTCATTTCTGTTGCTGATAATAGGAACACATGACACAGACTTAATGACTCAATGATTTCTAAGCATAGGCTGTTAAAATGGAAAGTTTACTTTACTGGGCTTTACCACACTGGCAGCATTGATTACTATAATGCATTCCCTCACAGAACAAGAGATCCAGTTACAAAAAGTAAAGGCAAGGCGGGAAACTGGCCTAGACATTATCCAGTAACAGGAGGCTTTTTCTCCACAAGAACATGATGAGAAATTTAAACAACGTATCAGACACCTCTAACATACATATCAAAATGTATTTTCGTCAAAAATATATTTTGTTGGTTCTGTCAAAAAACTGTAAGGGTTTGAGAAAAACAAATCACTTTGATAGTTCAAATGAGACCAAAAATACCCAGTCACCCGGTTGCTCACAACTCTATGCAATTTTACACTATTTACATGTAAGCACAAACTTGCCCCACTGGAAACATCACTCAGTTCCCCTATCTGCAAACTCACCCAATCCACTGAAAGCAACAGTTATACATTTTATCTGCCTAATAACTAATATCTGCCATCTCACAGAAGATTTGAAAGAGGATATAGGAATCTTAGATGTTTCACATGATGTTTCATAATGTGATTCATATATTACTGAATCATTAACTGTTTGCTGTTGTGAGCAAACAAACGTTCATGGAATATTTAATAGAGGAGAGTTATCTAATAGAGGAGAAGTATTGGGGAGTAACTAACTTAACTAAATTTACAGTAGCGTAAGAGTAGCTCAGGTAGTTGTGTAGTGTGACAAAACAGTATATACTTGTTTTTGTGTCACATTATATTCTGAATACTATAATCAAACAAAATGCCAAAATCAATGCCAATCTCAAATACCATTGGGAAGCTGGGAATGTGAAAGCAACTCGCACTTGTTCAGGAAGTAAAGTAACCTGCGCATGCCTTTTAGCTGATGATGACGTCACTAATACAACAAAGCGCCTGCAGGGGATACTTTATTTTAGTGTCATCATGCAGAGTGAGTTCAATCAGAGCTCAAATGAATAGCTCGCAATCCACGGTCTCCTCAAAAGAGTCTGTTTGCAAGCTGTAGAAAGCCGCCTTCATGTGAAGCACATACAGCAAACCCAAGTGTCGTTCACTCTGCTGCGCATAATAGCATGAAATTAATGCAAAACACAATATATTGCAGTGCACGTTTGTGATGACGTAAGATGAGCACAAATGCACCAGGATTTTACAGAATCTAATGAGTGAAACCAGACCAACGCTGCGGGATCGGGAACAGTCGCTCTCGGACCACACCAAACGTGCCCAGTGTGAAAGCCCCCTTAAAGTGGATAGTAATCAAAATGTGTAAATAAAACTTACTTACAATACTTGCATTTTAATAACACTATGTTGTAAGTGTGTCCCATCGGCTAATCAAAAGTTCTACACACAATTGCGGTCTTCGCGCCCACTTGAACACTTGGGCCAAATACCAGAAAGATGTCATGCAAGTAGACAAGTGGTCGAATGCAAAGACCCCAAGTGTGGGTATTGGGCCAGGCCCTTGGTGTCTCTCACCTTTAACAAAGAGAACTGAGGGGGAGGGCATGAAATCACCCTTCTGTTGGTCTCCCAGCCACCACAACACCACCACAGGTTCTGGAGGACCTGATGCAGCACACGTCAAGTTGAACGGCTCCCCTGCAAATATAGCTACATCCTCTTGTTCCTCCACAAAATGAGGCACACCTAAAATATGAGCAGTAAGAGGCAAAAAGTGTAATATTTGCATTAAAGGAACAAGATATGATCTGAAAAATACACTACTAGAAGGATTCAGAAGAAGAAAATGACATACCTTCTACTGCGATCCAAGCAGGCTCAGAGGAAATGATCGTGCCGTGATATTCAACTTCACACCAGTACTTCCCGGCATCTTGCTGCTGCACGGATTTCACACTGAAGACAAAGAAACACTCAGATTAGACACTCTTCAAAGGGTTAAATCGAACCATAAATGAAAATTGTGTCATTTACACACTCTCCTGTTGATGGAAACCAAGATAACATTTACTGTTGGGGCCGGGTCGCATTACAAGTAACATGAGAAAAAGTAATGATTGCTTTTTTTCAAGTAACTAGTTACAACAAAATATCTGAGTTACTTTTTCAAACAAGTAACGGAAGTTACTTTGTTTTCCCATGAATTGCCTGACACCTCTCCCGTCCCCATGTTGAGAGAAATCGAGAGTAAGTGCAGAGGCGCTGTGCGAGCTGTGAAAACACGATGAAATATTAGAAAAAGTAATGTAGAAGTAACGTAACGCATTACTTTCCAAAAAAGTAACTTGAAATTAAGTAGTTTAGATAGGCCTACTTTTTTAGGGAATAACACAATATTTAGGAATTTTTTTTAGGGAGTAACGCAATATTGTACAGCATTACTTTTAAACACTAACTTTCCCCAACACTGCTCAACAAATGTGCCTCAAGCTCAAATGCAAATGTTCACATATTTGCAACATTCACATTGTTTTTTTTAACTAAACTGAGCTGAATAATGACTATTATCTTTTTAGAGCTGTTTTACAGCTGAAATTTTATTCCTTTCATAATTGAAAAACCTTATTACTCTTATATTCCTGTCTATTACCGCGATGCTGCTTTGAAACAATCTGTATTTGTATAAAGTGCTATATAAACAAATGTAATTTGACTTGACATGACATAAGACTAAGAAAAGTAGCAAATCCCCAAACTTTGTGTAATAATGATCATGGAATAATGACACATCAGTCTCAAAGTTTTACAACTAGAAGAGAGCCATTCAGTCTAAGAGTGCTAAGATTTATGTAGACAAAGGTCAGTTGCGCAAACAGCGCCATGAATTGCATTCACATAACAGAAATGCATGACGTATACATTTGTTTACAACTGACCAGGTGAAATTAGTCATTTATAGATTATGCAGGCAGCATGGCATGCAGTGAGGAAACCGTGACGTCTATATAATTCACTAAGCCAGTTTCTCTCTCTACCGTTTGTTATCCTCTTTTTAGCCTAATCTTACAGCAAGGCAGCACTTTCAAAAGCAAATTTCCACCCATACCAAACTGTGTTTAGTCTAAGAATGGCCTAAAACAGATCTAGGCAACCGGTCTGCGTCACGACACGTGCAAAGAGATTATCAGCCTTGACAGCGTTCAGTAAAACAAGCTCATGTTACTAATGTCTGCATTACATCTGCATTATAGGGGATACATTTACCTGACTGCTCAACAGAAAGCGGTAAATGATCTCCAAAGGTTGCTATGTGTGTGACACTGTTTGTGAGTTTTAGTTTTATACATTTTGATTTATATGGCCTATCTGTATTTATTTATTGTGGTCTTCATGTGAATGTTTTCTCTGTTTTCCATTTAAGCATATTCGAAAATGTAATTTATTCCAGTGATGCAAATCTGAATTTACAGCATCATTACTCCAGTCTTCAGTGTCACACGAACGATCCATCAGAAATCATTCTAATATGCTGATTTGCTGCTCAAGAAACATTTCTTATCATCAATAATTAACAATATTAATAACAGTTGTGAAAACAGTTGAGCTCCTTAATATTTTTGAGCTTTTTTTCATTTCTACTATGAATAGAAACATTGAAAGTGTCTTTACTGTCACTTCTGATCAATTTAATAAATCCCTGCTGAATATAATTTCTTATAAAACAAAGTATTACTGCCCCCAAACTTTTGAATGGTAGTATATCCTAAACTATCCTGGTTAAGTTCAGGAATCAATAAACAAGAACCTGGCACACGGTTCGCTCACAAAACATAGTATTCACATCCAATTTCATATTGTGCTCAAGAATTAACTTACTAACGGTTGAAAATATTTTTGTATAACTCTGAAGGTCAGAGACTGGCTACAGTAACAAACATTTTAGACTTGATTAAAGAAGTCCTTGGTAAAGTGTATTCACCTTGGTGTCTTTTACAGACAGTAATGAATGTGATCATATGATTTTGGAGTTACAGTGAAATCCAACAAAAAAAAAGCACAAACAACTGTTCTGGGCCCGTATTCCTAAAGAATCTAAGAATCCTTTTAGAAAACTCTTAATTTAGCTTAAAAACTTTTACGTAGGAGTCTTAGCTTAAGAGTGATTCGGGACCGATCTGAGAGCAACTCTGAGTTAGGAAAAGACAAAAACTCTCATCTTAGTGAGGAGGCGGGGCTGACCCCGTTGCTATGTATGACACAATCTTTTGAAGACTGTGATTGGTTGGTTGTCCAAGAAGGAAAAAAAGAGCCATTTTAAGTATAGAGTTTACTCACACACACACACACACACACACGCACATTATATTTATGTATATAAATCTTTTTTTTTACCTTGCTGTTAATTTGATTGGCTTAGAATGATAAAAATTGTTCCACTCTTTCCAATTACACTGATTGCTGTCTATTTAAGTGGTGGTTTGAATGTTTGTTTTGAAAACATGGATTAAAAAACAAGAAAGACGAGAAAGCCTGACTGGTCAGAAGAACCGTGTTAACTGTTAGCCGAGTTAGTGGATGAACACTAGGCCGTCCTTAAAGGAAAATTCGGGCAGGGTGTCACAGCATGGAGCGAGAAGCGGACGTGGGAGCTTATAGCGCACATTATTAACGGTTCATTCCCCTGCTTGTGCGCACCAGGGAAGCCTGCTATATTCATAAATACAGTTTTTTGAGCCTGCAAGGTGGGAATGTCCAGTGGAAACTAAATGAACTGCGACACAATAAGAGGTTCTGAAAGTGCTGTAATGTTTGTGTGATCACTGCTTACAGAAGGTTGTCACAGACCCAAATCACTATTGCTTTATTGTATTTTCCCATTTGCCAAATATCTTAATGTAGTGATCATTTCTGGCGTTATGGCATTCCTGCGCTGTGTCGGAGATATTAGCGTGTCTCTAATAAGATCAGTCACAAACATGATCACTGCACAATCTCATCTATAGCGTCTTATTAACTCACTGTCGTCATCTATTGTCTGCATCACATTTCTTCTCCCTCTTCATCGTTCTGTCATTTTCTCCTCTGCTAAAGAAACTCTTAAGCCTCTTAAAAGTCCTCATCCATACTCCTAACAATTTTGACCTTAAGACCTCTTTTAAGGGTTAAGATGCTTTCTGAATTACTTTTTTCTTTACTAGGATTTTTTCTTTAATTTTAAGAGTAAACGCCCACATTTCTAAGAATTTTCTTAGAATTTTGTCACTAGGAGCTACTTTTTACATTAAGATTCTTTAGGAATACGGGCCCTGGTGTTTAAGCTCTGCGCCCACACTGTGATGATAAAAAATGATACTGATAGAGACACTGAACCACAACCTCAAGGCCACAGTCATGATAACTGGATAAGCTCCCTTTTAGTCTACCCACAAGTCTCTGTTATGACATTCTGGTGTCTATACGGCTCCAGCCCCTCCTTTAAAGATAGGGTAGGCAAATTTTTTTTAAAACAATTTTAACTGATTGAAACTCTCTTCACATCCTGATAGCAATCCATATAAGAAGTGGTCTAAATATTAAAATGCACATGTATCTTCCGTGGAAGACACAGGACCCATAAATGTTCGTCCAATCATTGCATTCGGTCCGAATACAATGATAGGATGTCCTACCTGCCTGTCAACATGTACTTCCATACCTTTGCTTACCCTGGTCACGCAGACATCACACGTCATCAGCGCGGTTCATGCTAGACAGACAGTCATCGAGCGCCACAAACAAACAGCAGCCGCCTTTTACAGTTCCTCCTGAACCAAAACAATGAGCTTATGCCGCGTTCACGCCATCTCGTAACCGAAATTACAGGATGGTAACCCGTGATGTTCTACCTGGAGCTGTTCATGCCCTCGAACTCAGATGTCAACACTATCAATGGTGAAATGAATCTGCAGCAGTCCGGTAGTACAAGAGCACTTTAAGTTGCGCATGTTCATTATTATTGCAGGGGTTAAAGTGAAAAAAATTTCTGAGCCTGAACTTTTTTTTTGGAGGGGGGGGGGGGGGGGTTGATGAACTTATCTTCAATGGCACCATTTATTTTCAAGTATTACAGCTGTATCTTAATGCCGTCTTTTTCTGAATGAAAGCCAGTATCACTCATATTATATCTACTGATGTCTCGATGAAAATGATTTCCCCCCAAATTTTAAACATTAGGCTTCAAAAAATATAAAAACCTTTAATTTAAGTGAACTTAAAACAATCCTCACTTAAACCCATAATAAATGTCATTTACCTGTACCATACAGAAATTGAATAAGGTTATAAAACAGTCCACACATACATTTTAAATGAAATATAGATTAATCCTTATCTAAGCTACAAGCGTTCTTTAGTCGAGGGCAGTTAGTAATTTTCTCTGTTCTCTCTGTTCTTTAGGTTAACTTTACTGACAGACAGAATTAATGGCTCCTGTCACTTTAAGATCTGCCGCTGCTGACAGGATCTCACGCCTCTCATTCTCTCACTACTATTTACTTCCATTTAAGATTGTATTTAACTCATTTAAGACTGTGCTTGTGAGGATACTCGACAAAACTGACATTTTGGCATAAATGTGTGTGTTATTGTTCGTTCAAGCGCGAAAGAGAACTCGATACTGGCGCGCGTCTTTCTGTGCGTCTCGTGTGTGTGTGTGTGTGCGCGCGCACGTCAGGAAGACATTCACTGAAAGCGCGTTCTCTTTTGTCTTGTCGGGCATGAGTGGTTTAAAGCATTTGCGTGAATAAAAGCGTGATCATAACCCTAGCTAAAGGATGACAGAAAGAATGGATGCTGCGTTAATTGCTTAAATATTTTAACACGTTAGCTGGACAAAAATGAATCGCATGCGAAAATAATCATTTTTTCCTCACGGCCGCACGCCGGAGATCCGGCACGGTGCCGGAATACTTTAAGCCCTGTTATTGTAATATGATGTGCTTTGAGACTCGTCTAGTGACACTTTGCAGACTCTGCTCTGGCTGTGTGTGTTCATGTGTTTTGAATGAGGCGTGGCTTTGGAGAAGCTATAAAGAGAGGGCGGGATCTCATGCTTTCAAAGCTAGCTTGCTATTGCTAGCCAGTCTGCAATTTCCTACCCTACCTTTAATGTACATCTATTGGATTTTGAATGTGTTTTATTGCCTGCCTGGCATAAAAAACCTGATCACTTGGCACACCTTTTCTCAACAAGACATACTTTATGTGTGTAATGTGTTCAAATCTCTAACACTAGTTTTAGAAACAGTACTGATAGTGGCATTTGCCTTAGTAAACAACCTTGATAATTGCACACTATCAAATCTGAGATTTGGCATATCATATGACAATATATTTTAATCAGTTTCAACATCCCCTTCATACTGTCTGAGGTTTCAGTTCTTCCCTGCAAATAGTTTCAACCAGTTATGTTTAATTTCTGACCACTGGCAAAAACAATTCTGAACAACATCAGGGACTAGGGCACAGTTCCAGGTTCACACCGTCCTACCTGTGGAAGGTCTCCCAGTGATGTGCATCCAGTGTGATGTACATCTGATCAGTGCTGTAGATCTTCTCTCCATCCTTCATCCAGATGATCTCAGGTTCACTCAAACCCTCAAAAGCACAGCCCAGACGAGCCATGTTACCCTGTGTCACCGTTTGGTTGGAAGGGTTTTTGGTGAACCGTACCCCTAGAGGACACACAATTTGACTAGGGTTACCATTTGGTTGTTGCTCTGTTGCAGGACAGCAGATGTGATTTTGCGGGACATGTGTAACAGAGATAAACTTACTACTATTATTCTTCTATACTATAAAAATAGATTTACGTTAGTTGGAAAGCCTATATACCATCATGTTGGATGATGATAACGTTTTAAATTGTCAATAAGCTTTGTTAACTCTGTGACTGGCACACAATTCGCCCAGGTTCGAGTGATACAATGTAATTTACTCTACGGGATCTTTTCAGTCCACTAAATTGAGTAAAAATCACATTTTCTGTTTTAAAGTCCATAAAAGTGCATCTATCCATCATAACGAACTCCACACGGCTCCGGGGGGTTAACAAAGGCCTTCTAAAGCGAAGCGATGAGTTTGTGTAAGAAAAATATCCATATTTAAAACTTTGTAAAGTAAAATAACTAGCTTCTGGCCAAACAAACATACGGATTCGACTTAAGTCTAAGTCGACTTATGCGAGTAATGCGACATACTGCTGACACTCCGCCATGATGCACTGCGCTACTTCCGACGTCACAAGTTGCGCATTAGGTGCAAGTAGACTGCGTATGGCCGTTTGGCCGGAAGCTAGAATTTGACTTTGTAACGTGTTAAATAAGCAGAAAAGTATTTTACGGAGAATTGCAGGGGACCTGTTAGCATGCAGGGTGCCTAGAACTATAAATTATTAGAAAGGTCTAAGGTTATTATTATTACTAAATTATTATTATTATAAAAATCTGTGATGGTAATTTTTTTTTTTTTCAGGAAATCTTATGCATCCATTGAGAGAGAAAAAACTGTACACTTCTCTACAAGGAAAAAAAATATTGATGTAAATGTGCAAATGTAAATTGTGCATATGAATTTCATAAAAATTCAACTTCTATCTGTCTATCTTTTAAACTTCTGTCTGTCTGTCTGTCTATCTACTACAGTATCTATCTATCTATCTATCTATCTATCTATCTATCTACTACAGTATCTATCTATCTATCTATCTATCTATCTACTACAGTATCTATCTATCTATCTATCTATCTATCTATCTATCTATCTATCTATCTATCTATCTATCCATCTATCATCTATCTATCCATCTATCTATCTATCTATCGAGTCGGTGCACCCAAACTTTTCACATTATATTGTAACTGCATAGTGTTTTCTTAATTAACAAACACACTAATTTACATCACATGCTTTGTTTGTAGCTTTTTGCCTCTAAACGTTGTCTATCAAAAAAAAAAAAAAAAAATAGACAGACAGACAGACAACAACCACAACAACAAAAAAACAGAACAAAACAAGACATGAGCAATGGGTAAACTACACCCCAAAAATTTGCAAATAAGTTTCATATTTCCTTCAACGGGCTTTTGTGTATTTTTCTAAGACGTCTATTGTGACCGTTTCTGGCATCTCTGTCAGTGTGCAAGCTCTGATTGTGGACAGCAGACGTCACGCATGCTGCAGATGTCTGAAAGATCTACTGTGACTGACAACAACACACAGCTGGCCAGAACATCTGCATCAAACATCACATTCATTCCCCAGGAAAGAGGTAAATGAGGAAACTACAGTATCCTGTTTATGATGTAGCCTAACTCTAAAATCAATAGCATAGTGTCTAGGGATGGGTAGCCTATATCGTTAAGGTTTTAACGGCATTAGCTACTACTCTTACCGATACTGCTTATCGATCCGGTATTAGTATCGGTTCTTTTTGCAATACTTTGGCGGGGTCAGAATTCGGTGAACCCGTACCCATCCCCATACCTGTCTGTCTGTCTATCATGACACTGCTTCAATCAGCAGTAACAGAATAATAGAGGCACTAAATGGCTGCTTTTTTTTTAGCATTATTTGAATACCACTTCAAAAGTTTATTTGGTTAAATAATGATACCAACTGTGGCTCTTTAATTTAACTGAAAAAAAGTACTATTTTTTTTTAGAACACGACATCAAGTTCCTTCTCAGCCTGCAATCCAGGATAAAATATAAAAAATATTTGATCGCACTCGACCACAACAATAACAAAACCAGAGATGCTGAATTGGTTTAAACACGTTCGGGCTCCATTAGTTTAAATCTGTAATCACAAATGCTGTCTATCCACGGGATATCACAAAATTAGGTAGCCTATTATTATTATGCGAAAGATTATGAAAGAGGATTATTAGAATTTTCTGCTTGAGTTAATAATAAACGTCCCATTTACATTTACATCGATGTTTATCTCGAAACATTGTGTCCACGTCAACACACAAACACTGATGAGTTTAATGAAACACTGCGTTCACAAACTCTGCGATTAGTTCAACAAACTTACCGTGAATTCCCTCATTGAAGTGCAGTAACAAGAGCAGGATCCAAAGAGAAAGCCCCATTATAACATCTTCTGTTAAAGAGCTGAGTTTTCTCCTTCACCTTGAGAAAGTTTGAACAGCGCTGATTAATGAATTAACTAGGTGTTCGTAAATCCCATTATATTCATAGACTTCACAGAGGCTTCAACTTCAAAATCACCCTCTTGCATTTAATACATCATGTTTCGGTAGTTAACCCGGTATAAATGGCATTCTTCTCATTGTTTTGATAAATCTTCAGAGCTCGTGAGAACGCGGTGATCATCGTTCAAGTCAAGTAAGTAGCTCGATTTCGAAAAACAGCAGGAAACATCTGAGGAGTCGAGGAGTCGGGAATAAGCGCCCCCTGTAGGTCACGTGGCCACACTGCACGTCAATCCGGCACAAAACCTCAACTTGTAATTTACAGCAGGGGGTTTCAAACTTTTTGAAGCTGAAAGGAATGTGTTTTCACGTGTATTATATTATGAAGACGGCATGCTTTTTGCCAAGTTAAATAATTGCTTTTATACAGGTTATTTTTAAAAATATTATATGTTGTAGTAGTAAAGACTAGATATGATAGATAGATAGATAGATAGATAGATAGATAGATAGATAGATAGATAGATAGATAGATAGATAGATAGATAGATAGATAGATAGATAGATAGATAGATAGATAGATAGATAGAAGTCTCTCATGCTTATCAAGCCTGCCTTTATTTGATCAAAAATACAGAAAAAAACAGTAATATTGTGAAATATTATTACAATTTAAAATAATGGTTTTCTAGTTTAATACTTTATACTTTAAAATATAATTTATTTCTGTAATGCAAAATGAATTTGATGTGATGCATGATGAATTTTCATCAGCCATTACTCCAGTCTTCAGCGTCACATGATCATTCAGAACAATATAAGTCTTTACTATCACTTTTTTTAATCAATTTAACACATCCTTGCTGAACAAAAGTATTAATTTCTTTCCAAAAAACAAAGAAAAAAATTACTGACCCCAAACGTTTAAACGGTAGTGTATATTGTTACAAAAGATTCATATTTTAAATAAATAATAATTCTGTTTTTATTTTATTTTATTTATCAAAGAATCCTAAAAAAGTATCTGACCCGTTTGAGATGTTAAAAAATATTAAGCAGCACAACTGTTTCCAACATTGATAATAAATCAGCATATTGGGGGGATTTCTGAAGGATCCTCTGACACTGAAGACTGGAGTAATGGCTGTTGAAAATTCAGTCTTGCATTACAGAAATAAATTATATTTTAAAGTAGGCTACATTAAAATAGAAAACCATTATTTTAAATTGTAATATTTCACAATATTACTGTTGTTGTTTTTTCTCTGTCTTTTTGATGAGCATAAAAGACTTCAATGTTTCCAAACTTCATTATGTTATCATATGGTATCATATCGGTATCATGATGTTAAGCACCGGTGAGCTAGTGGCCTCTAGTGGTCAAACGCAGCACTCTCTGTCCCGCTGGGCCGGAATGAAGCTTGACTGCGCACACTGTAGTAGGAAAGGAAGTTCCCCTCCAAAACTTTTAGGAAACAATCCTGTTCGACCAGCAGCCGACCCCATAGCGCTTATATCATGGTAAGTCCGAAACCGGTCCATATTTCAATGACAACTCCTATCGATGTCTCATTGCATTATTATTCATGCTTTCACTGAATGACTAATGAATTTGAAGAGGATTAAAACCAATGTTTGTATTTTGACGCCGGTCTAGGAGGGATTTAGGCAGCAACGTGAAAGCACTACGCGGAAACGTTTTCTTTGACTAGTTACGGCTTGTCTTGAAATGGTAATAGTAACACATTAGACCTGTATGAAAGAGAGCGGCTTTAGTCATGTGTTACTTTGATACAAGTAGACTTGTGCGTCGCATTTTGGATCGGTTTGGATGGATTCAAGGGCCGTGTCTCAACACGTAGTGTGCTGCCTATCTAGACAGCAGTTTTCGCCACTTGTGCTTGGTAATAATTACATTGTAGGCTACTTTGTATGGGTCAATGACATGGAACTGGGTTTAAGTTTTATATGTATATATTAAAAAAAGCCTTATACATTGTATGATTGTTGTTGTTTTTTGTAACTGTAAAATGCAATTAATAAAAAAATAATTAAGTTTTTAATTAGTCAATTTAATTAATTTATTGTTTATATAAACATATTTCATTTAAAAATATTATTTGATAAACTTTTGTCCACTAAATCAATATCACTGTGACCATGTATTGACCATTTATCACCGTGACACCTTTATGAATGTTATTATTATAACACATTTTTACCTTTTATGAAAATGGCACATTGAGATTAAATGTTAAAAAAGTAATATCAGACATCCTTGCTTATCATTGAACCATATTATAAACCTAATGTAACTAAATGATTATCATCATAAATTAATATACCATGGTATTTAGATGTTGCACAAATGTCCTAGAACACATATATGATAAATGAAACAAACACCTTAGACCACAATCATTTATTAGTATGGTACAGCCTCCTTTTGTGGCCAAACAGCATCAGTTCGTCTTGGGAATGACAGATAAGTCCTTCACGGTGGCCAGAGGGATTTTGAGCCATTCCTCTTCCAGAACAGCGGTCAGGTCACTGTGAATCTGGTGGAGGAAAAATTCGTTTTTGACTCACTCCTCCAAAACACCTCAAAGTGGCTCAAAAGTATTTAGATGGTGGTGACTGTACAGGTCATGGGAGATGTTCAACTTCACTTTCATGTTCATCAAACCATTCTGTCACAAGTCTTGCTGTGTGTACTATTGGTGCATTATCACACTGATACACGGCACCCCCTTCAGGGTACAACGTTTGAACCATTAGGTGCACATGGTCCTCCAGAATGGTTTGGTAGGGTCCATCAAGCACAGTGGGAATGTCATGATATTGCAGCCCAAACCATCACTGATCCACTCCTGTGCTTCACTCTGGGCAGCAACGGTCCAGGGGTTAAACCTCTTTAGGGCTTCTCCACACAGTAACTCCCACTGATCTGGGTAAGACAGTAAAAGTGGACTCATCAGAGAACAGTACATTTTACATTGTCCACAGCCCAAGATTTGCACTGTTGGCACCATTGAAACCAACATTTGGCATTAGCATGAGTGACCAAAGGTTTGGCAATAGCAGCCCATCCACGAATATTGACTCTGTGGAGCTCCAGACAAGCAGGAGAGTCGAGGTGCACATTTAATTCTACAGTGAGTTGGGCAGCTGTGGTTTTATGTTTTCTGGATACAATCTGGGTTAGTACCTGGACATCTCTTTCAGACAGCTTCCCCTTGAATTCCACAGTGACTCCGGTTGGATGTGGTTTTGAGACACAGCCATTGTCTTCTCACATGGATCATGTTGCTTGCGTATGCATGAGATGTGCAAACTGAGATGAAGTATACGGTGTCCAGTTAGAAAACGCCGGCTTTCTACACACACTAACACATACATGAATATCAGAAGCATGGCACGGGATGTTCAGTGTGCACTTCAGAGGGCAAAACATAAAATATCATCTTTGGAGAATGAGTTGTCTATAAAGTGAGTATGGCATTTTAGTCATTAACCAGTTACATTGATGTGCATAGTGAGACATAATGCAAATTCCTGTGATGTGGCAGAAACGTATTGCTCCTGGGGTCTAGATTTTAATTTAGTACATGTATTTATTGTGCATTTAGCAAGGTGTCTGTAGTGTATGGAACGATGTTAGTTAACAGAAATTGGATGCCACACTTTGTTAATGTCAGCTGATAGCCACAGTCTTGTCTCCTATACATCAGAGACATTTTTAACATTTAGGTTTGTCTCGTAGACGGTTGTGTATGTTTTCGTCAGATGATTCTGTGATGCTTAGGTGGTTGTAAGACTTCCAAAAACAGTGGTACGGAAAAGTACTTCAGACAATTTGAACTGTGACTATTTTATTAGATATAAAATATCAAAAAGTGGAGTCTGCAAACAAATGATGCTAGAGCTTTCTTCCCTTCACATTCACACAGGCCTCCTAGCAGACTGAGTATCCACGGGTGTAGTTTATTACATTAACTGTGTGCTTGTGTGCTATATTTCTTTAAGGCAAGACACCACAGGTGAACTGTGTACAAATTTTAACTAATATACGGTATATCACCATACTTTCCCCAATTGATTAATTACAGTACATTAAGACACTTGCTTTGCATTACAAGTTTTCGGAAATGTTGTGTTTAAATATGCAAATGTTGCATTATTTATTTAATATGCAAATATTGTTTATACGTACATAAATGCCCATTACAGAAATCTGAACATTGTATAAAGCCAGGTTCAAAGTTGACATAGGCCTACACCTATATGGACAAAAGTATTAGGACACACCTCTTAATTATTGAATTCAGGTGTTTCAATCTGCACCTACCCCTGCAATCTGCATTATAAACATTTGTGGAAAAAAATGGGTTGTTCTGAAGAGCTCAGTGTATTCAAGTATGGTACTGTGATAGGATGTCACTTTGCTATTAGTCAGTTCATGACATCTCATCTCTGCTAGATATTGCACTGTCAACTTTAAGTGTTATTATTGGAAAGTGGAACGTTTAGGAACAGCAGCAGCCATGAAGCGGAAGACCACGTATTGTATAGTCAGAGCGGGGTCACCGAGTACTGAGGCGCATGGTGCGTAAAAGTTGTTAACGCTCTGCTGATTCCATAGCTGAAGAGTTCCAACCTTTCTTTTGCTATCAGCACAATAATGTGTGGCGGGAGCTTCATGGAAAAGGTTTTCATGGCCGAGCAGCTGCATGCAAGCCTCACATCACCAAGTACAATGGCAAGCGGATGGATTGGTGTAAAGCATTATTGTCTGAGTCCATTTTGCAAACCTAATGTTGTTTTTCCTGAGACCTGAAGCCTTTGTAGAAGTATTTACTATTCCCTACATTAGTCCACTAATATACTTCACTTGAGGGAATGAATGAAAACAAGTGAGCGAATTCAGACACTGAGTGCAGCAGAAGGGCTGCCACTTTTGCATAGTTTGTGCTTGCTGTTTAATAATTATTTGAAACTTAGCTAACTGGCAGCTCCAGTAGCAAGATGAAAAGATTTATCTTGAATTCTGTCTAACCCTAATTAAATAAATTAATAATCAATGAATCAATGAAAAAGTAATTTATACCTGTATGATATTACACTGTAGCCGCATTGGACCGGCAGATTGAAGATATGGATGGATTGATGATTTAGCTACGGTTGC